CCAATGAAAGGTACAAGCCAAGGAATGAATACCCCAAATATTAACAAATGGATGTGAGAAAGAAAGCCACAAAGAACCCATCAGCTGCAAAACATGGGTAGGTTTTGTCATTTTTGAAAGAGAGGATCAGAATTCAGAGGGCATGCAGACAGAAGGGCTGGTCTTCATAAACCTAAAATTTTAGGGTGTGGAGGGGCCCTTAGCAAGGGCTAGCTAGCCTTGGCGGATATGGCAATCCAAATTCCAACCTGCAAGGGGACAGCGGTGTCCCAGCAATCAAACAGGTCTTACTGTTTTCAAGACCAAAACTTCATCTATGATTCAGGAAATTTGTAGGGTAACCCACGAGAAGGGGCACATGGGGAAAATGTTGTCCTAACTTGAAAACCTTCCCATGTGGTCAGCTACCCTGGCCATGGTAATGGTTGCTTCCTCTTCCCCCTTCTAAAATGTCAGTTTTCACTGTACTGATATGATGTGATTATTTTAAAAGAGATTGTACTGTAACCTAATAGAATGAGAATGGACGTTCCTGGAAGGAAGAAGCTAACTGTCTCAATATGGTAAGTTACAAGTTAATTCTCAAATATTTAAGCTTAATTAGGTAACCATCTTATGAATACCGATGTTGCCTTCTCACACGTAGAATGTCTCCTATTTGTAGACGCTACGAATTGAATTTTGTACGTTTGAAACCTTGGTAGGCGGCCTACAACCCAAACTCTAGTGATTGAACATCAAAACTAGATGTGAATGTCTATAGGCGTCTACCTTCATGATCTTTGAGTATACTCATCTAATAGAAGTGTTGTAAAGTAATTTGATGAATCAACTCGTTAGTCATACATTACTCATTTAGTCTCTGCAGGAGTATAGTGGAACTGCGAGTGGATGGCTACTTGATCTTGCTCTAAGTCAAATCAAACTATGACAAAGTACTAGAATCAAGGTTCAAGAAGGTGTTAAGTGTAAGATTGGCCTTGGGGACTTGCCTGGCACATAGCTTGCCTAGGTGTCCCCTAAACATGCCTAGGTGTTAAGAAACAAAAAGAGTAGTTTGTACCAAAAAAATAAATGCAATATTTTTACATCACATCCGCACTTAAGCTGAAATGCTTAACAATTTAACAATATGAGAGCTATAGTTCTTGAGCTATTGAAAATATTGAGTTAGTAGATAATGTTAATTTCCACTTTTTAATGATTTCCTAACTCCGTCTAAATACATCTAGGCCTAGCTGTCGAATTACTCAACTGTTGCATTTTAAATGCCTAACTCGCTACTGAATCACTAACAAGGCATTTTGACATTGTCTAACGTCAAGACTCATCAAAACGTAAGTTTATGCGAACCGTTATCAAATTTTGTTCAAAACAATCATACAAAAATGTGTTTGTCAAAATGACATGATATATACATGGATAATTAACTTTTTTTCTTTTTATCTTACCTTAGTTCCACTAGGAGAAGGAATTAGCTAGGGGGTGAAGTAATTTCTTAGACATTGAGAGAATATGATGACATATTTCACCCCTTTAAACTAGTCTTTCATTCATGCTTTTCATCACCATTACAATAGCACCTTATAACAGGTCTGTAAAAAAAACTAGTATGTCTTTCAACAAAATATTCCAGCCGAATCCTATAATACTAATTATATTTGCTTTCTTCAGTTGCCATGTCAGGCGGATCTTCTGCATACAGTACCTAAATTATATATTATGTTTCTTCCCGATCTAATCAGTCCAATTAAGTCCATAATTATAATTATTGGAGACCATGTGTTTGTGCCCAGGCAGCTCATCAGACGGGTTTTGGAATTTAATTAATCACACTGTGCCAATTAAATGCTCATCACTGAGAAGGAATCACTTCAACTTCAAAACTCCATTATTTACAAGCAAAATGTTGTAGGGTAGACTATACCAATTTTGCTAAAATGTTCACAACCTATTTATGAGAATGTACTCAACAAAATGCGAGGTTGTCGGATAGACCGCACAATTCCACATTTGTTAGATGAATATGCCTACGACCTTATATATCTATAAACACATTTTTTATATAACAAAATCTGCATATTTTATTTAGCTGGGTAAAACGTCATTGCAGTCTTCACTAAGGATGAAATAAATAAATAAATAAAAGCAGGAGGCCTCTCAAACCACATTGCCATCTCCTCCCATCTGCAAGCTATCCTCGTCATCTCATGTGCAACTGTGTTGCCATTTCTCCCTCAAAACCTACATCGAACGTTACCCATCTCCAGACCTAATTCTCTTATTTCCTCCACCACCCTCCCCAATTCCGTTTCAATCAGACCATCCTAGTTGAGCTTTTAGATCAACGATTGACAGTCCCATTCCATCAAAATCGGCATTTGCACCATCGGTTTAGGCATTCGCTCCTGGATAGATCCAAATATTATAAAATCTTATCAAATAATATATTATATAAATTAATTGTAGGATCTTTTGTTTTTAAACTTTGATGATTTAATCGTGATTTATCCATTTGTACCAATAATAGCTTCAGTAAGCAGATTTCCAATTGGGTCACCGATGTTTAAGCCATAGTCGAGTGAGAGTGTACGTTAGGGCTAGGAAACGGTGCGGTCTGGTCCAGAGCAGACCATCTATACGGTCTATGGTCCAGACTGAGAGGCTAAAGTATAGACCACAGACCAGACCACAGACTATACGGTTCGGTCTAGACCACGTCTGTGCGGTCTGGTCTGGTCCAGATAGACCACACTCAATGAAAAATGAATAATTTGTTTAGTCAACCACACAAAAAATTAACCAGGAAAAATAATTGTTATTTGCCTTAAATCATTAATCCTAACATGCATGAATAATTTTGATACTCTAAATCTTAGTACGTACCAAAGATACAAAGTAAAAGCATCCCAACTTGCACCATAACGTCATAAACATTAACATAATGTCATATGGAGACACGATTATCTCTACTCTCTAGTTAAATGTGGTTGTGAATTAAGGAGGGACGAGATTCACAAAACTAAGGTTGAGACTTGAGTGTCGTTGTGGGAGTTGGGAGAGTGGTCGAATGGGCTGTTAACACGTATTTACAAGTCAGTTGGGTCCACGGTTTGGTTCGGTAAACCGCGATCTAGACCAGACCAAGAGATCAAAACATAAAATAGTACAGCCATGGACCAGACCAGACCAGACCATACTTAACGGTCTACGGTCCGAACCAAACTGTGCAGTACGGTTTGGATCACGGTTTTTCTAAATTCTAAATGTCTGGTCTATTTTCCAATCCCTAGTGTACGTAACACACAATTTGTGTTGGCTCTTAAGGAATTGGCCCGATAATAAACGGATCTTCATTCTACTCTTCACATTATAGTTTCAATCTTGGAAACTCCCTCGTCCGGGCCGTTCCTGCCAGCCCAGCTTTCTTTTCCTTAACAGAACATACGCTGCTAATAGCTCTCGGCCCATCTAAACTCCTTGTGTTTATTTGCTTCAAAAAAATTTCGAGGTATTTAAATAACATTAAAAAGTACACACAAAAAAACACTAATAAAAGAAAGCAAGAACAAACCCACCATTGGCATTGAAATTTAACTTTCATAGTGTGAAAGATTGCATAATTCCACAACTTCCCACATCGGTGAAATTGAGTTTGTAATTTGAGAAATTCCTGTACACGTCACAATGCAATTGGGAAAAGTCAGGCTATGTAGTTGTTCTCAAATTCAATATAGAGTGGCATTGAAATTTGACTTTCATAATGTGAAAAATTGCATGATTGCACAGCTTTCTACATCGGTGAAATTGGGTTTTGTAATTGCAAAAGTCCTATCCACGTCGCTACGCAATTGGAAAAAGTCAAGGCTATGTGGATGCTCTTAATTTAGAGTGACAAGCATGATCAACCACATAAGTGCTATCCTTACCAAACCATAGATTTTGATTAAGCTCAACATGAGTGGAACGAGGGGCTTGCCTTGTAGTCAACTGTTATGAGCCATCTCCCATACATGATACACTCCACAAGCCCACAACCAAATCCCAAATATTGACAAACAAAAAGAAACTGAAAGGCACCCGTTAATCAAGGGGCCGGTTGATATATTATCCCATAAAAATAAAACAAAACATGTAATTATCAAGTCATAGGGGTTGATTAGCGGCGAACCAAACACATCCATAAAGTACACACAGTACCAAATATACAATAGTGTTTCACATGGAACCAATCAGCTAACACCAGTTGGAGATCGTGGCGGGCTTTTACATGCATGCACTGCTCTTCTTTTCCCCCCTTTCTTTTTCAGGGGAATGCGTTGAACTATGAACACAGATTGAAAGATTTAGAACGCGTAACAGCTTTGTATGAGTGGAAAATGGTTAACTGCATAGGTTTACTTGAATTTGTTGTATAGTTTACTTTGCTATTGTGCTATTCAGCTGTAATCCGATTTCAGATCGAGTTCTTGATTGGCGGATTGTGTTTTCGGATTGTATATTTTGAACTTTACGTTCATGCTAAACACTATCGATATCTATAACTAAGTAACAATAAACTTATTCAACCGTAAATTTAACAATTTGGATATTTATGATATTTAAAAATTTTGAATTTATTTTATTGGAATAAATAGGTTTGGATATTAATTGTTTTTAGTCCAAAAATAAAATACAATCCATATGTTTTTTTTTCATATTATGATTGAAAAGTTGTAAAACTTTATGTTGAAAACCAACAATTTAAATCGAGTCCTTACATGCGTTTTTTTTTTTTTTTTTGCCGATGTAATCTTACACAAATAATAACACAGCTAAAATATATAAATAAGTAAAATATTGAAGGAGTTACATATTCTATACGCATCCGTGAAGAAAGTTTCCCTTCAAATTTATGCTCTTGCCGTCTCATAGCTTTTCCCCCAAATCCAATGGCCAATTCCCCTCCTCCTTCTTGTCTCTTGTAAATGACACAACACACGTATTCAAAGTTAAGATTTCGCTCCTTCCTTTTAATGGTGAGGGGTAATATCTTAGTTTCCATTTTTTCCTCGACAAAGTTTTTGGGTGTTTTCACAATCTCACTTTCTCTCTACATGCAAAATCCAACCTCCACAACACCCTAACACAAACAAAAATCCCAACCTCCATCTCTCTCTCTATCCCTTTCCCAATCACATAGACCCGAAAATCTCTGCTCCTTGATTCTTCCTCCATTTCACCTACCTTTTCAATGTTTTGGTTGTAAGGGAAGAATGAAATCAACCCCATTTCCTTTTTCATCATCATCGTCGAATAACAACAATGGTTCAACCGGCACTCCTGGTTCTCATTTACACGGGAAAAGGGACAAACAAACTTTAAACATAATCATGGGGAAGGCTATGCCTTGCTTGTTGTCCACATTTGCCATAACCACCATTTTCACCTTCTTCCTCTACTCCCCTGACCCTTTCAATCTCACTCCACCTCCCAAACAAACCCAAAAACAACAACAGGGAGGAGATGCTCATCATCTTCTTGATCAAACCATCTCGTTAAAACCGCCAACATCGCCTCCCAATCTAAAGGGTACCCTTCATACAACCCCTCATTCCCTTCAAAACCCATTTCTCAATTTCTCCACTTTCCCATGCATTGATGATCCTTTGGTGAAATTGTCTTGATACTCTGTTTTTTTCTTCTTCTTGATTTTGCAGTGGAGGAGAATTGTGAGCTGTTTAAGGGACGGTGGGTGCCCGATCATGAAGGTGCGAGGTACAGTAATTGGAGCTGCCCGACGATGCCAGACTCCAAGAACTGTTTCCGGCATGGAAGGAAGGACAAAGATTTCCTCAACTGGAGATGGAAGCCAGATGGTTGTGTTCTTCAGAAGTTTGATCCTAAAGCTTTCTTTGAGATTGTGAGAGGGAAGGCGATGGCATTTGTTGGGGACTCTGTTGCCAGGAATCACTTTGAATCACTACTCTGCCTCTTGTCCCAGGTTCTTGATCTTGTTATTACTGCCATTGTTCCTTATCAGAAAGTGGGGGATTGTTTGGTTGATCTGGAATTGGTCCATTTTTGGTTACTAAATGATCACTCTTTCAGCCTTCAAGATCTCTGTTACACTGCATCAGTTTGCTTTCTTTATTTAGCTTTTTTATAATAATAAGAAAGGTTTCCGTTGCCTACAATGGTGGCTGTGATTGCTCTCTTCCTTGATTCTTGAAATGGGATCAAAGTCAAACATGAATTCTTTACTGTTATTTTTCACCCACCAGAGCCCTTTTGCTTCATGCTTCTTTTTGGGTATGTAGTTTATGCTTTGCTTGCATAAGGGTGTCCTTCAAATATTCTTTGGTAGGTGTCAAAATGAGCTACAGTTTATACGTCTAAGTCAAACATCCCTTGCACAAACAATAAGTCAAAAAGTTTGTTCATAGGATGGTTCATTGATCAACATAATCACTGTTTCTTTTGTTTTTGGTTGTTGCAGGAGGAAGCTCCAGTAGAAGCCTACAAGGATGCCGACGACAGGAACAGGATATGGCATTTCCCCAAGCACGATTTTATTCTGAAGGTCATCTGGACCAAGTTTCTGGTCGCCGGAGAAGAAAGGATGATCAACAGCACGACATCAGCCGGCATCCACGACTTGTACCTCGACAGGCTGGACGAGAACTGGGCTCGAGACCTGCACGCCTTGGATTATGTGATTATCTCAGGAGTGCATTGGTTCTTTAGGGCCATATATCTCCACCAGGATTCAAAGGTGGTGGGTTGTATCTACTGCAATGAGCCGAACGTGACCAACTGGGACGTCAAAATGGCAGTGAAGATGGCCCTCAGGGCAGCTCTCGACCGGATAAACAACTGCAAGGAATGCAAGAAAACAGTCGTCGTGGTGAGGACATTCTCCCCGTCTCACTTCGAGAACGGGTTGTGGAACACCGGCGGGACCTGCAACAGGACAGGGCCTGCCAGGGAGTTGGAGATCGACTCAGGGAGGGATGTTTATGAAGTGAGAGACAAGCAGGTGGAGGAGTTTCAACGAGTAAGAAAAAAAGTTAAGAAGGGGAAGAAGTTTGGAGTGTTGGATATCACTAGGGTTATGAGGGTGCGGCCTGACGGACACCCAGGCTTATTCTGGGGGAACCAGTGGATGAAAGGGTACAGCGACTGCGTTCATTGGTGTTTGCCAGGTCCTATCGATGTCTGGAATGATTTCCTGCAAGCAATTTTGACGAGGCTGAGATGATCGACATTCTTTGGTTACCTAGATTAGATTATAGCTGCATAGTATAGGAATTGAGTGATTTATTTTCATCAGTTCATAGAGGCATAGTAAAAATTGATTGTTTCAGCTGAGGGACAAATAAAAGTGAGAGAGACAGAAAGATGTAAAGATATATGCAGAAAGCAAATTCTAAATAGTACATTCATGTAGTGAAAGAAGACTAGAAGAGTGAGTTCTGTTATGCTGTCAGTTCTGGTTTTTACAGTGTAACAATGAAATATTACCGTAGTTAGGGATCCACGACGACAGGAACCAGAAAGACGGCAGCAGGATTGACAGGTTGCATGATGGTCCTCACTTATGGTGGTACAAATAGAGTAATTCTGGCTAGATATGTACTCCTTGTTGGTATTTTTTCCCACTAGCTCTAACAAGACAATTTTAGCAGAGGAGACACAACCCATGTTCAAGAGTTAGGAGAGGATTCAGCTGTAGCTGTCCAAGAAAGGACATCCATCCCTTTCACAACTGGGCTAGGAAACACGACAAGTTCGTGCCAATGAACAATCAAATGCAAGTACCAATCAATTATAACACCTTTCATCAGGGTTTTCTGCATTCAAATTCTCAGCATTGAGATTGACATCCAACCCCCAAACTTCCACTCCTAGAAATGGCATGAATACCTTTTGCCAAATTCAGGTACATCATGCAGCAAAAAATAGGCTGCAATTGAACTAAGCATACATTCAAGAACTCGATAAGCTAACACGAGTTTCTGTATCTACTACTAGATTAGAGTCTCCAATATATTAGCAGCGAGAAGTTTGACAAGTGTCTGTGATTGTTCCAAAGCACATATGAAATTAGAAGCCGGCAGAGAAACTTAATTCCAAATAAACAATCACAAACAAGGATGCATTCTAGACTAAATTTGTATACCCTAGTAGGTCGGATTATGGACACAATGTTGCTGCAAGTCAAATGAGACTGAGAAGAGAGCTACCCACGTAGGGAATTGACAGAGTTAAGCATTGTAAAGTCAGTCTGATTCATTCTATCAATGATAATATTTTACATAACACCAGCCTGAAATCCGGACTTGGCCAATTCTCATACAACTCATCCTACAAGAGATATCAACAAAGATAATAGAAAATTCTTCACATTAAAAACAACAGAAGTAAAACCCGCAAGCATAAGTTAGACAACAACCAGTTAGAAGAAACTCAGTACTATCAGTAAAACATAACAGCTTCTTATTTGATAGGAAATGCAAAGAACAAGCTGTGGACGGTTTTCAAACCAGAATTCTTCTCATTACCAACTCTTACGTCCATAAACAGAACTGCAATTTCTCCCACTATGCTCTAAGTTTACAACACCCATTATAGGAAGGAAAAAACTAACTTTGGAGCCCCAAAAGAGAAAGGAGCATATTAATGAAACAAATTTGCTTAAGTTAATATAAATGAGAAACAACAAACAACAGCAATTCATTCTACAGAGTTACCAAGCACAAAGGAGCTTAATTCACGAACTGGCGTGAACTCCACAACTCCAATATCCATAGCATACCCATTAACAGGCAACTTCAAGTCTCTGAGAACACAGAATGCATCCGCCATTCTCGCCTTGGGAACGTCTTGAGCCACAGCACAGTAAGGAACCCAAGCATCAGGCCTGTACTCTTCCCCAATCTCGATTCCTTCCTTCCTCATTGCATCACAGAGCTGAGAATGGAACTGAAGCAAGGAGAGCGAAGGCGTGGGGGCTAGAAACAGGACATTGTTGTCGCTGGGGAGGGTGCCGATGGTGGAGAGAGACATAGGCAAAGGCTCTTGCCTTGCAGCAAAGCTCCTTATTACTGATTCCAGCTTCGTGGGGTCGATGTAAGGGTTGGAATACAGGGTTATATGAGGGCGAGACTCGATTTCGATGAGCTGCGTGCTGATTTGGCGGCGAGCTAGCACGTTCCAGGCTTTCAAGACCTGGTTTTCCAGCGCCGGGTCGAAGTAGAGCTCAATTGCATACCCCTGCTGTGACATTTGACTGCTGCTGCAGAGGCTGCCCGGAGGACTGAATTTCAGAAACAACCCAAGATCCAAACACTTGCACAGATGATGAAAGAGTAATATACTGATTTTCCCCCAAAATTGAAGGGAACCCTAATGGGAATGGCGCGAGATTTGGAAGAACCAAGTTGGGGGAAATTGGGTAATCGAAGGGAAGTTAAGTTACCCGAAAGAGGAAGAGGGGAAAACAGGGAGGATGAAATTGGGAAGGACCAGATTGTGAAAGATGAAGATGGAGAGCATGTGCAAAGGGATGGAGAGGCGGATTTTGGGGTTGCTATGCAAATAAAGTGACAAAAGAAGAGACAGATATGGCGAGCGAGAAAGGAAGGTGAAAGGAAGAGAGAGAGACCAGCTGTTTGTGAAAGTGGCCGAGGAACAGAGAGATAGAGAGAGAGACTTTAGTTTTGATTGCGTTGCTCCAATAGCGTTATTCTGCTAACGCTATTAGTGGTTAGTATATACTAACACGGTGAGATGAGGAGCCACGTAGGCGAGCCACCATCGGAGGGGTGAGAATCGCCGGCGGAATTCTGTGAGGGGGAAAAGTTTTCTCGGCCAAGCTGAGCCACATTTGGGACAGAAATAAAAAAAAAAAAAAAAAAGTAAAACCCAAAATTTCAAACCCGCCCAAAACCCAACCTCAACCCGCGGTCAGCCACTCTCCCTTCTCTCTCCAGAACTTTCGAACCCTCTCTCTCTCCACGAACTTTCGAACCCTCTCCCTCTCTTCTTCTTTTCTCCCGAAAACCACCACCAACCGCGAGACCACCAACAGCGACGATCTTCGACGGCGACGACGGCTGCGAGGTCGGCGACTTGTTGCTGGTTGTACCGCCGACGTGGCCCTTGAAGCTCTCCCGACCGACGAGGAAGAAGACACCGCCGACGGAGAAGAAAGAAGAAGACGCCGCCGACTTCGCTGACGAAAAACTCCGCCGCCGTCGCCGCCGATAGTTGGAGGTAGAAGAAGACGCTGAGGTTGTTCATTTTCTGTATGGATTTGAAAATTTATGTTAGGGTTTCGGTTTATGGATTTTTTGTGTGGAAATCTGGGTTTTGTTTATGGATTTGAAAATATATGGTTCATGCAATTCGATTTAGGGTGTTTAGGATTTTGATTCTCGATTTCCAGATATTGTGTCCGTGGGATTCGAATTTGGGGTTTAAGGTTTCGTTTTGGGGGTTCATGGATTCTTTTTTCGATTTGTAGATTTAGGGTTTCATGGATTCGAATATGGGTGTTTAGGGTTTTTTTTGCAGATTACCAGATTCTGGGTCTGTGGGATTCGAATTTTGGGGTTTAGGGTTTCATTTATCGATTTGTAGATTTTGGGGGTTTGTTGGATACGATTTTGGGGAATGTAGGTATTGTTTGTTGATTCCTTGATTAAATGTTACATGGATATTAGTTTTATCACTTCCGATACTTATTGTGATCATTTTATATATTGTTTCATTTTGTTTTCTCGAATTCCATTTTGGGGGTTTGTTGGATACGATTTTGTTCAATCTGGGTATCATTTGTCGATTCCTTGGTTAAAGATTATATGGATATCATTTTTGTCAATTGTGATACTAGTACGTTGGATTATAATACTGATGTTTATTTTGTATGGATACTAGTCTGGGCATATATTATATTCATTGAAATATTGTGGATACTAGTACGTTGGATTATAATACTGATACATATTTGGAGAAATGGGATACGATTTTAAGATTCATGGATACTAGTGATACTTATTGTGGTCATTTTGTTTATTGTTTCAGTTAATGGGGAGACCGAAAAAGAAGCCCAACAATGATGGAGAAGGATCATCAAAGCAGCCACCTGATGTACAACAAGAGGTTTAAAAATTACTAGTCGGATGCATTTTAATATTTTCATTAACCGATAGTTTTCTTAATATCTAACTATTTTTCAGGAACAACCCGTGAGGAAGAAACCCAAAACTGTTGCACCAAAATCTTCAGCGAAATCTCGTGAAGCAGCTGGATCATCACAGCAGCCGCCGGATGAACCACCACCGGAGGTTTGATTTCTCACTTCGTTTCTCGATTAGTTATATTGGCTAAAAAAAATAAACTGATGTGTCTGATGTGTGGATATCAGTTCTGTTAATGTGGATACTTAACTGTTCGTTTTAGTTATTTTTCTGGGTATTATGGATATTTTTTCATGGATATTAGTTATCTCCGTTTGGATACACTTTTGCTTTACTACGATAATTGTATTGTATATAAGTGTGCGTTTTAGTTATTTGTCCAAGGATACTAGTCTGGGCATATATGATATTCATTGAAATATTGTGGATACTAGTACGTTGGATTATAATACTGATACATATTTTGTATGGATACTAGTCTGGGCATATATTATATTCATTGAAATATTGTGGATACTAGTACGTTGGATTATAATACTGATACATATTCTGATGTGTGGATATCAGTTCTGTTAATGTGGATACTTAACTGTTCGTTTTAGTTATTTTTCTGGGTATTATGGATATTTTTTCATGGATATTAGTTATCTCCGTTTGGATACACTTTTGCTTTACTACGATAATTGTATTGTATATAAGTGTGCGTTTTAGTTATTTGTCCAAGGATTATGGATATTTTGCTTAATATATAACTGTGTTTCAGGAACAACCCGGGATGAAGAGAACGAAAATGGTTGCACCGAGATCTCGTGAAGGAGAACCATCAAGGCAGCCGCCACCTGCTATTCCAGAAGTTGAGGAGGAAGATGAGGAAGAAGATGATGATGGAGAGGGAGAGGGTCCATCCGAGACCTCTTTCTTTTAGGGCGACTTCTCTCTACAACGGAATCCTCTCCATGTTTCTGTTTCTGAACATTGACTTCTTCCGTTGACCCTTCCTTATTACAAACATAATAAAGGTAGGCATAAATTTCCACCACCTCTCCTTCAGAATTCTTCCTTTTTCTCAAATGTTGCGAATCTACTCGAACACCAAACCCTTTCTTGTGAGCATAGCGTTGGTAGAAACGAACACACTCTTCCTTAGTGCGAAAAAAGATGTTATTCCTCGCTTCATCATCTTCTAGGTCCGAAGTGTTGTGAGCTGCGAGATATTTCCATTGCCAGTTAGTATCCAATGCGCCCAGAGAAATTCCCAGAATACGTGTAACAAATATCCATAAACAGTAGTATCCATGAATCTTAAAATCGTATCCCATTTCTCCAAATATGTATCAGTATTATAATCCAACGTACTAGTATCCAAAATATTTCAATGAATATAATATATGCCCAGACTAGTATCCACACAAAATAAACATCAGTATTATAATCCAACGTACTAGTATCCACAATATTTCAATGAATATAATATATGCCCAGACTAGTATCCACACAAAATAAACATGGGCTACAAACTACGTCCAACAAACAGTAGGTAACAAGTATCCAACTAGCTCATAGTAGAATCCCAGAAGACCAACAAACATTAAACTCACACTAGAATACGTGTAACAAATATCCATAAACAGTAGTATCCATGAATCTTAAAATCGTATCCCATTTCTCCAAATATGTATCAGTATTATAATCCAACGTACTAGTATCCACAATATTTCAATGAATATAATATATGCCCAGACTAGTATCCACCCAAAATAAACATCAGTATTATAATCCAACGTACTAGTATCCACAATATTTCAATGAATATAATATATGCCCAGACTAGTATCCACACAAAATAAACATGGGCTACAAACTACGTCCAACAAACAGTAGGTAACAAGTATCCAACTAGCTCATAGTAGAATCCAAGAAGACCAACAAACATTAAACTCACACCAAAGACATTAAATTTCATTCAATGCTCCCAACCAAAACTCAACAACACAAACTTATAAATATGTCAATCCACAATCACCTTCTTCTTCTTCTTCTTTTACTGTAGCATCGAAGCCAAACCCACAACCACCATCTATTTGAGTCAAACCTTCTAATACACCATCAACAAATTCTTCTTCTTCATGGGACGAGCTCGTTTGTGGAGGATCTAACTCGGCCTCATCATGGATCATCATCAGCAACGTTTCCTGGACGCCGGAGGAAGAAGAGGAAAGAGGCAGGTCGCCGCCGGCGACTTTTCCGTCGGAGAAGAGAAGAGGAAGTTCAGAGAAAAGAAGAGAGAAGAAGGGGTTGGGAGAGTTGAGAGAGAAAAAGTGGTTGTGGCATTAATTGCCCATCACTTCTATTCTTTCCCCAATTTGTTGAAAAGACCCAAAAGCCCACCCAAAACTGATTTGGGCCCACCCATACTAAGATATTCTGGAATACAAGTATCCACGGCACCACGAATAGTATCTCAACAATCCACACAAATATCCAACACAAAAAATAGATGAATATTCAATAGGTACAGAGAAATATCCAAGAAACACAAACAAATACCACAATAATACAACAAACCATCAAGAAATAAATAAAACATATTACAACAAATACTGAAAAATATCCACAACACCCCAACTAATATCAATATTTTGTTCCACACAAATATCCAAACACATAAACTAAGGGAATATTTACTTATGTTCAAATAAATATCCACAAAACACAAACTAATATCTACTATTTGTACCCTAACCCTAAACCCTAAACTTTAAACTCTATCAACCTAATCACTAAACACTAAAACAATAAAACTATTGTTGTTTTCCCAAGCCGAGAATATTTCAAAGGTTCCACACAAATATCCAAACACATGAACTAAGGGAATAATTACTCAGGTTCAAATAAATATCCACACAACCCGGAAAAATATCATAATATTTTAAATGAATATCGTTATGTCAGCAATAAGTATTACAAGTAGGAGAGACAAGTATCCACAAAACACAAACTAATATCTATTATTTGTACCCTAACCCTAAACCCTAAACTCTATCACCCTAATCAATAAAACACTAAAAAAATATAACTATTATTGTTTTCCCAAGCTGATAATATTCAAAGGTTCCACACAAATATCCAAACACCAACAATAAAAACTAATATTATTTAATAGGCCTTCGGCCTATGGGCCCTCGGCGGGCAGCCCTAACTATGGTTGCAAGCATTACGTGTTAGGACTTGATAGTGTGTAGGACTTGCTAGTGTGTGTAATTTGATGTAAGACACAATATTCCAATCTTTCACAAATTGAAAACCAGAACTCTAAACCCTCATCAAACTTGGCCTCGCTGTCGACGTAGTAGAAAAGATCAATAAGATGATTTTTGGAACTTATGCCAAAATATCCACACAAGTATTACAACTTATGCCAAAATTTTTGTTAGTAAAAAGTATTACAACTAGAAAAAACAAGTATCCACAACACACAAACTAATATCCACTATTTGTACCCTAACCCTAAACCCTAAACCCTAAACCCTAAACCCTAACCTTAAACCCTAAACCCTAACCCTAAACCCTAAACCCTAACCCTAACCCTAAACCCTAACCCTGACCCTAAACCCTAACCCTAAACCCTAA